TCCTTTCCAGCTGAAACCGTTCTATGATTCTGTGATACCCTCCTTTTCTCAAGTCCTGACTAGGATTCTGTTCCACTTTCCCACCCACTGCCCTTCAGTGGTGGCATGCCGTTTGGTGGACTGGAGTCCTGCCATTTAATTTTACCTTAAATCAAAAAGGAATGAGAAAAAGAAACCTTTTGGCCCCTTTGTTTTGCTATAATAAGGACTGGATTGTTATCTGCATCTTGCTTTTTAAACTGGTTTTGTGTGGTTTAAGAAAAATCTTATTCTCTGAATTTGGTTTTTCCACGTTCCTGCTGTGGGACTGATGAATTAATAGCAAACTTTTTTTTTAATGCCAAGAATGTTTCCGTTATTGAGAACTTTATAACATTGTAATGCGCAGCATTTTTGAAACCAGAATGATAATTAAAGAATCTAAGGTTAAAGAATTCTATATCTAAAGTGTCTTTTACACATGAATATCAACTACAATCTTTATTCATTAAAGACTGTTATCTCACAGCATACAACCTTGTCATCCTAAGTTGTTTTTCTTTTCCCGTGTCCAGCTTTGTCACGAACAAGAGGAAGCCATGGTGTGCATTCCCTGTATTGTCATTCCCGTTCTCCTCTGGGTCTACAAGAAATTCCTTGAGCCCTATATCTATCCTGTTATTGCCCCTTTCGTGAAGCGCGTATGGCCCAAGAAAGCCGTGCAAGAAACAACAGCCACAAAAGAAGGTCAAGGAGGCAGCACTGGATATCCAAGGGCACCTTCAGCCGCGAAAAGAGATCAGGAGGATGAATTTGGAATTTATAAAGTAAGATTAATGCATTCAGCTAGCTGGGGATTAAAAGCACCTGGCGATAGTTCAGGGTGGGCACCACGAAAGAGTAAATAGTTGGTGGTTGTTATAAATGTTTTTATGGCTATTTTCTTAGCAAACGGAGTTAGTGGTAGAAATACAGATAGAAACAGTTGCTTCAGCTATTTGGTAGGTCTTGGAAGGACAGGAAATGCACCTGGTTTTGGAAGCAACTTATAGAATCATAGAATAGTTAGGGTTGGAAAGGACCTTAAGATCATCTAGTTCCAACCCACCTGCCATGAACAGGGACACCACACGCTGAACTATGTCGCCCAAGGCTCTGTCCAGCCTGGCCTTGAAATTAGTTAATTAACTTAGTTAATTTATTATTCTTTTAAATGACTGGCTATTCCTTGAGAGAAGGAAGAAGTCAAGTAACGAGTACATCACACCAGATACCTGAAGCAGAACTAAAAAAAACCCTCCTCAGCCAGCTCTTCCACTTGCAATGGGGGAAAAACGTTTGGTGTGTGTAAATTGTACATTATTTATCTCTTCTAACAAACTGCAAAGATTTGCATCTGTCACCTCTGCCCTTGTTCCCCCCTGAAGCAATCACGACATGTAAATCTAAAGAGATGCCTCTGCTGCAGTTCGTGCTGCAGATTTCCTCAGGATCTTCTCTGGCCTTGCTCCTGAAAACCATTCCCATCACCAGCTGTTACTGATCCAAGTGCGAAGTCCTTTTTTGACCTCCCATTAATGATACTGTCTTTTATTTGCAGTTTGAAAGCAACGGCGTTGCAAATGGAATCGCTGCAAAAAGATCCACAGAAGTTTCTGACAAGAAAGCAGATTAGAGGAATTATTTCATGATTTATTCCCTTGTGTCCAATATGAACTGGTGATATTCCTCCCACTTTGAGACTTTCTTTTTCTGCACATCTTAGCTGAATAAAATCCCCTTATCACTCGCAGGAGGTCTCTTTCGCCACTCAAATGGCAGCTAGCACATTTCTTAATTTAAAATGTTTGAAAACTGAAGTTCTTTGTTTTCCTCACTGGAACTCCTTTTCATCTATAATCGATTTGGTGTGATTAGAGTTTAGGTTCAGTAACTTGTGACTAAGTCAAGCTTTGGAAGGTATATTTATCTTAACATCTTAGTTTCATTAACTGCTAGTGCAGTACTTCATGCTTTCACCTTGAAAACGAGAGCTGCTCTTAACCTTGCTAAAGAGCTATGAATTGCATTGTGGCAGAAGCATCATTGTTAAGAAGAGTTTAGATTTTTTGTGTGAAATCTGTGGATGAGCTAAAGGAATTATGCTACATGCAGAATTTACGTAGCTTGGTAAAAGCAGAAAGTCTTGATTTGATACTTCCATTAAGTATTTCCGTTGAAACATTGTGCCTTTCTTTCCTGAAGGGGAGCAGCAGAGGCACGATGCAAGGAAACCGTTGCTTTATATTCTGTTGCAGTGGTTTAAAATGGTGCAGTCCTGTCTTTAGAGACAAAAAAGCCAACATCCAACTGAAATCTCTTCAATGTGCTTGTGGAAGTTGAATGATAATAAACCAGGATTTTATTTGAAAGTGAGTTACTTCATGCAATTGTTCTTAGGCTTCTGAGCTATAAATATCTAAAGTAGTAGCAAAATCTTTGAAAACATGGACACAGATTGCTGGCTGAAGGAGATCATAAAACTACTGACTTTGGGATAAAGGAAGTGAACTAGGGAGGTCCAGCTTTGCCTTCTCCTGGGAAGGTGTCTTCTGGAACAGACCTGCATCTGAACCCAATACTGCAGTTGCAAAGGGGTTTAGATGTCCCTGTGCTCAGTAAGGAAGTGGTAGTTCCTGCTTTGTCCTCTCTGCCAAACCAGAGCATTCATTGAAAAATTCCAGACAAAACCATTTCAGCCATTCTGGATTTATCATTTTCCCAAAAGTATGCCTAAAAAGGTATATATGTAGTCCTTGAACTGTTGCTGAGGTCAGGTCTTGTTCTTGTGGCCACATTTCCTCCTAGAAGATAATTAATTATCCTGAAGATACTCTTGATGCCGGACAAATGCCTGTATTGTGTCCTGCTTGTATCTGATTTTGTCAGGTCTTGTGTGAACCGATCCTCAGTGGGTATCGGGCCCCTGTTGCTACAGCCATTACTTCTGTAATGAGATGAATTGCAGAAAACTCCTACTAAGATGTTTCCTAATAACTATTTGCTCTCCCTTAATGAGCTAGTCTGTTAGGAAGTGAATTTGGTATTGCTGTTTAACGAGCTTTTGCGTCATCCTTGGAACGTTATCCCCCATGTGATCAGCGTATCACAGCTACAGCTTTCTCCTAGACTGGTGAAGTACCTGCTCTTTGTGATATGGAAACTTGGTTTTATTATTGTCAGTATGCACACACATAATTCATGCAATAAAAGATAACAATACTAAATGTGCACTCCTGTAACTTCTCACGGGTGTTGTTCTGTGGTTTGTGTAGTAGAAAAGACAGAGATTGGAAAGTGGAAGTGAGGGACTTATGCTAGTTTCCAACTGGTTTTGTCCTCTTATCTTTGGACATTTCACTCATATCATTGCAATGAGTCATACATAACCTTATCCATCCATCAATCCATCCCAACCCTATTCATCCAAACTTCACCTGGTAAAGGGTGGATGTAACCTCTGCTGTGGTGGATTGGGTTTTCTAAACAAATCAACCCCCTCCTCTCCCCAGATAATAAATTCCTCTGTCAAAGCTCATGCTCTAAATCTGAAAGCTTGGAATTTCTATCTGAAGTCAACTTGCGATGAGAAAGGAGTAAACTGCCTGAGAAAGGCACTCCAGAGCTGAGATCAGGCACAGCGCCTTTCAAAGGGCTGGAGAAATGAGTCCTTGCAGGTATGCAGCTGAACATGAGTATGGGTTCTTGCATTGTCAAGATCATCCCTTCTGCAGTGTTTCCTCTCCCAGGGCAGGTAACCTTAGCAACTGTTGTGAAATGCTGGACATGTCATTAACAGGCCCAAGTTTTGGGATAATAAATTCACCTCTGACAGCTGTGAACGTGACAAAAAGTAGAGCAAGAGCTGTATTGGGGCTCTTTTACTTTGTCAATGTATGCAGTTGATTTATGAAGTGTGCATAATTAATTATTGGGGTTATGAATATACAAGGAAGTGCTTCAGACAGTAACGGAAAATAAACTGTATAGTAAATCAGACTGCAAGCTAAATAAGGCTTCTGGCTGTGTGCTGTTTAAACACCAGTTTCACCACTACTGAAAAGCCTGCATAAAGCAAAATGGTCAGATAATGCAAGTAAAATTGGCAGGATTCGTGCTTTCAGAGATGGAGTTTTGGTACTTCTGTTAGCTGCAGTTTGACACATGAGTAAACTACATCACAAAACTTTCCAGAATGAGGCACTTCGCTGGGATTGCTGGTGGGAGATTTGTGTTGCAACTCTTCTGTTCCTATAATTTTCCAATAACAGGTCAATAATCCTATTGTGTGTTGTGAATACTAAAAAAGCAAAGGAACTGCCTAAGCCAGGGCAGGGGTGCAGGGTATCATCTACTGGGAGGCAAAGAAGTGCACAAAGCCTCAAGAAAAGCAGACGGCGATTAAGGAAATCCTCACAATAGAGAACAATATTTATCAAGTAATTTAATTTAATTGAGCAAGTCTCCATATATTCGTTACTAAAAGCGAGATGTACAAAAGGCCTTAGGCACCTAATGATGGCAGTGGACATCTACCAGGATTTATGAGGCCAAGGAGCAGCTTCATTTATACTGAAGACCTTTAGGAAATTGTAGAGAGGGAACCTTTAGGGACTAGAGTACTTCTGCAGATCTAGTCCTACTATCTTCAGCATTAAAGCTGTCTGGTTTTATTTGAATACTATGGAGGAAGAAACAATAATACTTGAAAAGATTTTAAAAAGTATTTAAACCAACTAATTCAAGATACCTTTTTTCTTCACGGGAAGGTCTAGATGTGACATGGTACCCTCTGTATGCTGGTTTGCATAGGCAGCTGGCTGCCAAAGACTTGGATTTAATCGAAATACACTTTAAAAAACCCAGCAAGTATATGTAAAAAGTTCTTAAATAGAAGTTGAGAAAGTTCTATGTTGCTGACTGTATTTTGATGGGCCTCATTTCTGCAAGCAAAGGAAATTCTGGCAGGTTAAATTGAATGGGATCAGCCTCCAAGGATGTCTAAGCTGACAGTCAATTCTATGGAAAATGATCTTTAGTCAGATGTGTTCACAGAACACGGTTAAATTCTATCTGCAAAGCTGATCTAACGACAGGAACACAATACGCTGTTATTACCCGAATGCAGCAATCACGCCCCAGCCCTGTGGGAGCTGCTGGGCATGCTGCTGAGTTTAAGTCCTTGGAGTCATTCCTCCCTGATTTCTGCACAATGCGGAACATGATTGCTGACAGAGCAGTCTTTTTGGAGGCTGCAGGTAAAGGAAATGACGAGAAACTCAATTTACACTTTAGATTAACTAAATCTGCCTTCAATCAGAACTAATTGTTTCAATAAACTGCTTGACATGAAAGAAGAGATTATCTTCCCTCTGCAGTTTTCTGATTGTTGGAACATGCTCACTGAACCAAACCATGTTTTGGGTTTCACAGCCAGTCATTACTTCTGCTTTGCACTGAACCTGACTGCAGCAGTTTAACTGAAATGGTCCAGAACACAGTGACTCTCTTGCTTTAGAAGTGGTTTTAGATCATGTTGCTCTATCTTTCATTGTATCTGAAACATAACCTACTTGAAATGTCATGAATTGGAGTGTTTATACGTAGGCAGATGTAGCAATACTTGCATTTCAACTCCTTTGTGCCCACAGTCCTACCTATTCTATAGCCACTCTGTTGGCTGTGCGTGGTTTTTATTGCCGCAGTGGTCTGATAAAACACCTTATGAACATGAGGACAAACCCTGTGCCGAGATGTTTGCTTTACGTGGCAGTGTATATGCAGTGCTTACACCCCACCTTTGTGCTTGTGCTGTTGGCTTGCACAGCCTGGTTACAGGTACGTGTAAGAACTGGGCTGCCTATTTAGTGTCATGCACTGTGATAACGGGATTATGCTTTGGGCTAATCATATTGGGAAGGGTTTCCCCTTTTGGAGGAGCCACTGGGTATTTATAGAACCAGCACAAAAACCACCTCGGAGATCACAGGATCCCAGCCTGGTTTGTGCTAAAAAGGGACCTTAAAGCTCATCCAGCTCCAAC